AACAGAGATTTTTGTACAAGAGTGTAATTATTAATTTGACCCATCAAGTTTGAAAAGGGTTAAATAAAGCCCTCAAGTTTCTAAAATTATATATATATTCCCCTTTGTTCTTTAATTTGATTTTAAATAAATGAAAGTGAAACTCCTTAGCCAAGTCAATTAATGTAGCACTCAACTTTCCTTAACTACTAGTTGTGCAAAAGCTTTTGTATGTTTTTTATTATATAGTCTAAAATAAAAAATTAATTGTAGTCTTTTAGGCTCGAGAATAATGTATTCACCCTTCTATCCTTCTCCACTTAATATTAAATTTGATTCACTTAACACGATTTCAAACTTATGATCTAAAACACAACTTAAAGTTATTCAATCTTTATCAATTTAGATAAGATAACTCACGAAAAGAACTATATTCCCTCCATATGTTTCAATAGTTGCCATCGCGATTTAAAAAGTCAATCAATTCGTTCAATAAAAGTTCTCTGTGTTTAATAGTTATTTCAAAAGAATGAAGAATCAATGTTCAAATTCACACACACAAAAACAAATAGTTTGACCCTTATATTCCCTACCCCGTCATTGTTATTGAGAGTTGACACTATGTAGTGTACAATAGGAGGAAATGGTCTCTTATAGTGACTTATAAATTGAGTGAAAAAAACAACATTTTTAGATATAAATATAAAAATCTACTGTTACATTATTATTTTTTTATAAAAAGACTACAAAATCTAATCTCCCAACAGCTATATGACTGGTGAACATACGATAAAAAAACAGTAAGAATATTATTACTCAAAGGAGTCTAAATCCTGACATTCATTCAAAGTGGGAAGTGTAGATGAATGAATGGAAGATGTTCATTGTGTTGCTCATGCCAATGCATAAATTGAAATCTGGATACACATGATAAGTTAAAGATATGTAAAGATACAGAGACGAACGACCCGAATTCGGATTTATGCTCTAAAAACAAGTTATGTAAGAATTTCTGCTTCATGATTTATACTGAAGACAAATTTAAGAGTAACATCAAATTGGCAAGTGCCCTGTGAAAGGGTTCCAAACACAAACATATTGATGAAAGGTAGCTAACAACAATATGCTCTTCTCTGTTTGCAAAATACATTCAAGTTTTTATTTCTTAAATGAAAAACATCATTCGCCAGTCGAGTCAATAAGGACAGGCTTTCTCAAAATCCTTCTGCTCATTACGACACATCTCAAACTCATTTGTGTTGTAGTACATGCATCCAGCATAAGCATCCATCTCTTTGTTACACCTCTGATGAAGATCCTTCAACCTATAATGGAAAAATTATATTTCTCAAAGTTGCACAACATTTTAAAGACTTATCAAGTCATCACTCAGATTCCTCAAGTTGTTCAAACTATAAAAACCAAACATCACTCTTCCAACTTAATTTAAAACAAGTACTTAGTCAAGTTGTATGTACTGAAATAGGACCAAATATAGTGAAAATCCAACAAATGAAGAGAAATGTGGCCACTCTTTCCCTATTTTGTGTTTGCATTTTTCTCCACGACTCAACCTTCCACACACTCAGCCCTAGCATAAACCCACCACCACTCCTTCCTGTTTTAAATTTAGGCTATTGACCTAAGATCTCTGTTGCTCAGACTCTTCAATATGTCAACGAGCGGGTGTCAGATCCTCCAAAAATAGTGTATTTTTTAAGGATCCAACACAGGCGCGGCAACATTTTTGGAGATTCAGAGCAACTTAGCCTATGGCCACAGCATTAATGTTAATTCTGGATACCTAGACACGGTAATTCACTTCTATTCAAAGCTTACCATGTACACTGGCTGGGGAACCCCAAGCAGCTAACAGAGAGGGTTTCGCAAGAAGTACACCGCATAAACACCAAGAATATGCACATATTTGAAGAAAGAAAGACTTTTTGAAAGAAAAAGAAAAGAAGAGAAAATAGTAGTGGACACAGGCTAGCATCAGCATTTAGGTGATGCACATATGGTTGCTTCTCTACTCGTGAATTGATAGATGAAGCAATAGAACTACTGAAAGGAGGAAAAAAAAATATTCTTCGGTGAGATAAATAAAAATGTAACAAGTAGCCTAGGATTCCTTTAAGTGGGTCTGATTTGATTGTGCAAAGGAAGGTTTTGTTTCATGTACTTGACTAATGGCATTTTTAAGAGGTTATGCATTAGTTTGAGAGAATGTATTGAGCAATAATGTTAATGATCAGGTCTTAGTTACAAAGTCGATATGTGGGGAGTGACTGAAGTTGTAAACATTTTAGATAAGCTGTAACCACTTAGTACTGGACAGATGCCTTCAAAATGGAAGCAGAACTTTTAACATCGTCTTAGAACAGGTCTCAAGGATTGTAATAGGATAAATATCAAAGTCCATTGTCCCTGTCACATACATATGAAATAGACATGACAATATTGAACCATGTTTCATTGTGAGTGATTCAAATAGGAAGAAGCCAACACTACTTTTGATTCATAGAGTCGATGGCGCCAGATATAATCCTACATTATATAAGCATTCAAATACTCTCAATGACCATATTCAGCATCGGCGTGATTAGGAAGGTAGAAGAGACTTCAATAATCTCCAATTACAATTTCTAGCCTATATTGCATGCAATACACTCATCAGCACACGGAAGAAGAAACAAACAGCTATAAGCATTCATGATCTTTTGTTAAATTGCCAGCCCGCAAGCTTAACACATATCTTCCACCTCTAAGAAGATAAGTTCAATCACAGCGCGTTCGTAATAGCTTGACCTCTTTCATGTATGAAAAACAACATCCGTTCCTCAATACATGAATTTTAGTTTTAACTGCCAGAGGTGAACTTGTTTACTCTGGTACAAGTATTGTTTGAAACTGTGTTTCATTATGCTTCTAATTTCTCTCCGTGCAATAAAGGTAACAACAACATACCCAGTGTAATAAGGGTCATCGAGGAAATATAGCTTATTACTGAAACACTGTTATTACTCTATCAAAAACTATTAGAAAACAGTTGAACTGCGAACAATCTTCCCCTCAATTATTACAAAAGAAACATTCATAAAAAAACATCTAATATCAATCTACCAACTACATCACAATGAATAGTCTATAACTGGATATTCATTCTGCTCTGTTCAGACTCGCGTCAATTTATAGTTTATACTAGTAAATAATGTCTTATAACGCAAAATAGGGGTCTTAAAACTAGACATATTTTGAACTTCACACTGATCCCTATTATGACATCTCTCTAACTAGACTAAAAACAATCCCTCCAGGCAAACATCAGACAAAGATAATGGAACATTTGATGTTAAATTAGATGACTACCTCATCTAAAAGCCTAAAATCTTTGAGAGATTACAATCGTGGTGTCCTAACCAGATTGCGCATACCTCTTTTAATTCTACTTCCCAATAGTACATGTACCAAGTAACTTTGTCCAGCAAGCTTGGATAGATGAGAAGAGATCACCTGATATTTATGCCTCAGCTGGGAATCGAATTTGAGACCTCAGTTCTCAACCTATCTCATTGATGCAACGTAATGCCCTTGAGTGCATTATCTACCTAATTGTGTCTTTAATCATAGTCCAAGTATCTCTACCTACACCAATTACATGTTAAGGAAATAATCTATTTACTTAATCATGTCTTCAACACTTCACACATTAAATTAGAGAAATATCAACTCTTGATTACTAAAACCAAATACACAAACAAAAAAGCCCTAAATTTTCACCTCATAATACACTGAACAGTCACACAAATCACAAAACTGTATACCAAAAACAATCTCAAAAAATCGGCAAAAAATATCAAAATTAAGAAATATTTCGATGTGAGTTACTAACTTACAGGCTAAGAACACAGCGAGTGACTTGTTGACCTTTTTGGAGGCATTTCTCCGGGTTTGGATCGTCCTTCTTGCACTTGAGATATGCTACATTCTCGTTCCGGCACCTAATATCTATGTGCTTCGACGCCGACATCAGCACCGCCGATGTTGGGATCGGATTTCCAACAGCATCCACTGCGCTAGACATTTTTCCAATCGGCAAAACTTCACACGAACTATCGGTTCACTCTCTTGTCTTCCGATTGGTTGCTCATACATTTCTTCTACTGAAACTTGGGCTGATTAGTTGGGCCGCTTGAGGCCTGGTAATTTGATTAAGTGGGCTAAGAGTTTATTTCGGGCTAAACAATACATATCTCACTAGTTCAAGGCCCAATTACTTATCTTTTCGTGAGTTTTTTAAATTATTATTCGTGCTAGATTTTAATGCTCAAATACATGTATTTGAAGCATTCAGATACATATATTACGGACACATGAAATCAAAAATAAGTTCAATTTAATTCGAATATACTCTATCCATGTCATTTTGCATGCATTTCGAATACATATTAGCTTTCTCGCTTGCCTCTCTATATGTATTTATATTTCAAAATATATATAGATTCTGGAATGTATCTATATCTAAAATATGTATATTTAGTGTAGTTCTTACGTATCTGGGATCACTTACTCCCTCCTGTCTCTTTCCCCTCTCGCCTCTCTCACTTACCTTTTCTCCCACTTATCTATTTTTCATAGTGTATCTGATAGCAAACATACGGGAATCTAGATGTTTTTGAACTAATTACATGAAATGATAATTAGTCAGATAATAATATGATTAGAATTAATAAATATTATAGAAATGGCGGTGTAATTAAGTATTTTTTTCCCTTTTTTATTGGACAAATTACGATAAATACACACCTTTTGTTTCACCTTTTTTCATTATCCTCAATTACTTTTAAAAATTTTCAAAATTCCTTATTTTTAATGTATTCGAGCTGCATATTAATGTATCTGATCTAGTATTTAATGTATCTGAGCTACATATTATGTATTCGAGCTAGTTTGTAATGTATCCGAGACAATATTAATGTATTTGATCTTTAATTATTATATCCAATTTTTATCTTTTTAAGGAATTAATGTTATTAGAAACTTAATAGAAATAGATTGTAATTTCATAGTTTTTATTTTTTATTTGGGCCGACCCGAGTCCAGGTTATTGGTTGTGTGGGCTAAAAGCTGTTTCTTCGGACTCCGGTGAGCTTCAAGGAAGAAACAATGGCAAAGCATTCGCCGGCGACTCCATCGTTGACGTGAACTGTGCTTATGGTATAGTAAATGAAAGAGTAGTCTTACTGTAAAGTCCACGGATATTCATGCCTTTTTATTGAAGTCACTTAGAACCAGGTTCTCTTATGGTTTCTGTAGAGTTCCATCTTTTACTGTGAAATAAATTTTGCCTGAACGCTGAATATGTACATGTTTTTGTCTTCTTGTTTATCTGGGTGTGCTTAATTTCTGCGTTTTTCTGGGTAAATTGTGTTGGGATTTTCAATAGAACTGAAAATGTTACGAACCCCACAAGGAGCAGCTGTTCTTGTTTCTAAATTGCTGAAAACCCCACCACTCAAAGCTCTTACACTCTTCAAATCCTCAATCGAGCAAGGGTTTCATCAAACCCACCAATCTTTCTCTATAATCCTAGACGGACTTCTCTCGAGCAACTCAATCTCAGTTGCTCAGTCTCTAATCTTACAGTTAGTTTCCGGCAGAATCACTTCACCCCATTTCACAGTTCCATCCTTACTTCACCATTTGACTCATACCCGTTTCTTGTATTCTACTCCTTTATATGAAATTGTCATCAATGCCCATCTTCAATCTCAGTTAATAGAAGAAGCTTTAGTCTTTTTTAATGAAATGATTGATAAAGGACTTGTACCTTCATCGAATACGTTTAATAGTATTCTTTCTTGTTTTATAAAGAACGGATCTTTCGAAAAGGCTTGGTTGATATTTGAAGAATCAATGGGGAAGAGTTTTTTGAATATGTATAGTTTTGGGATAGTGATAAAGGGTTGTTGTGAGTTTGGTAATTTGAATGGTGCTTTTGAGGTATTAGCTAAATTGAAACAAATGGGGTGGCGACCGAATGTTGTAATATATACTACTATCATTGATGGATGTTTTAAGTATGGTGATGCTGCAAGAGCAAAGGAGTTGTTTAGTACGATGTCAGTCGAGGGTGTTATACCTAATCAGTACACTTACTCTGTATTACTTAATGGTTTCTTTAGGCAAGGACTTAAAACGGATGGATTCGAGCTTTATGAGAATATGAAACTTGATGGAGTGTTTCCTGATATATACACTTATAATTCTCTTATTAACGTGTATTGCAGCGATGGAAAAGTTAGCAAAGCTTTTGAATTATTTGATGAAATGCGTCATAATGGGGTAGTATACAATGTTGTAACGTACAACACTTTGATAAGAGGGTTATGTCAAGAGAAGAGAGTGTTGGAAGCTGAGAAACTAGTGGATCAAATGAAGCTGGCTGGGTTGCACCCTAATTTGATCACATATAACACTCTAATAGATGGGTGTTGTAGTGCCGGAAAGCTTGAAAAAGGATTAACTTTATTCAATCAGATAAAGTCCTATGGGTTGACACCTACATCAATCACGTATAATACTTTAATAGCGGGTTTCTCTAGAGCTGGAAATCTATCAAAGGTTGTTGACTTTGTTCGTGAGATGGAGGAAAGAAGCATATTTCCTTCAAAAGTCACATACACAATTCTTATTGATGCATTTGCTCGATCCAACGACATGGAAAAAGCACTTGAGGTGTTCTCGCGTATGCATAAAGCTGGTTTGAGTGTAGACCTTTGTACATATGGGGCCTTGATACATGGATGGTGTAGTCAAGGGAATATGAAGGAAGCATCGAAATTGTTCCTATCGATGTCTGAATATCATTTACAGCCTAACGATGTAATATACAATACGATGATATTTGGATACTGTAAAGAGAGCAGTTCCTATAGAGCCTTGAAGCTGCTCAAAGAAATGGTTGAGAATGGAATGATTCCAAATGGAGCAAGCTATTGCTTGACGATTGAAGTTCTTTGTGGTGATGGGAAATGGAAAGAGGCCGAGGTTTTAGTCAGTGGCATGATGAAATTCGGTCTAAAACCCTCGGTTTCATCACGTGATCTGATTCAAAAGGCAAAGAACATGACGACTTAAAGATATTATGAAAGCGATACCTGAAATGTATGCACACAATAAGCATGTGAAGCAACATCAACTAGAAAATGAATGACGGCTTGGAATACCATCGATTGCCTTGTCCTCATTGTCATGTTAAGCTTCGCTGCCACCCTGATTTACCTTATAGAAAAGTCAATAACACCTTTTGGTATTCAGTAACACCTTTTGGTATTGAATATGGAGTGTTTGTAGTTTCATGTCATTTGATGTTTATATGTTACATTCCTAGTGTATCTTATCTGGTCATTCTTTTGATCTCATGTTAATGTAGTTTATGTTATTTTACAGTCCTTGTTCTCGAGATTATGGAGACTACTTCATCACAAGCTTACGCTAGTTCTTGATAGAAAAAAAAAAAGAGGAAACCTTCTCTACAAGCGTGTAAAGGATATAATATTATACTTCCTACAGAAGTCTCATCAACATTGAAGTTTGGTAACAGCTGCATGCTACTTTTTTCATCATATAATGCCGCAAAACTAACTTGTTCATATGTGTAGTTCTGTCATCACATTGGGTTGATGATATCAACTGTAATGGCTTTTAGGATCTACTGTTATTGTTAGTATTGTTTTCTCTCCAATGAAGGAGCTTAATGTAGTTGTTTGGATTCCTCTTTGTGGATTGAGGATGAGGATGCGGACTCACTAAAATTCCTTGACAAGGGAAACTTCAAGTCAAGACACACACCATCGCGATGCTACATCGTGATTCCTTTTGCTGAAGGATCAAGAGTTGAAGTGATACAAAAGGAATTCTTCTTTTTCTGTAGATATCTCATAGTGGAATGAACAACACTTTTTCGAAGGTTCTTATTGGGGTTGATATGCACACAGTGTTGATATCTCCAGTAAGCAGCTGATAGAATTTGGATAACTTGAGCCACCCCTGAATTCAGTCACCATGGATGATGGATACAAGCTCATGATGCATCATGTTCTATTTATCTTTTTTGGTAGGTAATTGAGTATCCTTATGCACGAAGATAATCAATTTGCTAGTTGTGTTCAAACTCTATTATGGTTTTCTTTTACCGCATTCTCTATAGGACTCTCTTATCTTATCCTTCTCTGAGCTCACTTCTGAAATTTCTTCGTGGTGGCTCCCTTACATGTCTCTTTTTAGAGGGAACCTCAATTTCTAACCCTTACAAGCCTTCTGTATTCTGATTCCAAATTGCCTTGTATCTACAGTCTTATTTCTTGGACCAAAGATGTAAGCCTAGATATTGGTGGCTCTTCATATTATTGCTTCTTTTTGTCTGATAAAGTGATAAATTGTCTGTCTAAATCTAGCAAAGCATAGCTGGTCCCAAATCCACATAAAGGAGGGTCACTCATACAAAACAAAAAAAATGAGAGGAAATTTTGGTAAGTTTAGGTTGAAAATTTTCTAAAGATTTTCGTAGCTAGAGGAAAAGAAAGCAATATCGATTCATGTTATAGTGAGGGAGGGGCGAAGTGTGAACTATCTAAACTAATGAAAACAGAGCTAGTGTGAGAGTAATACAAAGTGTCGTGAATGATTCAGTATAGTCGATTTCAACTGGTTTGAATTGAATTACATACATATGTAAGTTTCTATGTTGTACCAAAAAGAGAAAGTTAACAAGTGTAGTCATGGATTCATTCAATTTTAACCATATGGTTTCTTTTGTCATTAAGTTCATATTTTTCTTTATTTGTAATGAAGGACCACACTATCTGATGAATGAGTAATACTGCTTACATGTAGTAACCAATTGGGACCAGAGAACTCATTGTATGATAAAACACTGACAACATAACCACTATACAAAATTCAGTGTGCAAAAATAAATTGAAAAAAACTAGATAGGGGACCATATTTTTTTTAGCTTATTTAAAAATAATAATAATACAGGAACCCTTGTTTATTATTCCTATGTTGTAGTTCATTTTACGCTCATCAATCTCGAACACCCCCCTTCTTTTCTATTTCATCGTACCCTATAGTATTTCACCAAATTACATATAAATGTTCTCGAAATAATATGTCTTACTTACTTATCAAACATTATAAAATAAATAAATAAACTCACTTATTATCTACCAAAAACTAGTGATAAGTAAATTATGATAGCACTTGTTTATTCAAAGACGAGATATATTTTGAGAATTAAGTGAAATAAACCAAAAGTAGACACTTATATCCTTTTCTCAAAAGTTTCATCTTTTTCTGGTAAATTATTCTTTTTTAAGAATATTCACCTAATCGTCAATTTGATGTAACATTTGACTTCTTTTTTTTAAAAAAAAAGTTATTTATATTATTCTTATAAGTGAAAGATGGAACCCTTTGGCTATTGTTTAATCGAATCCAATAATATCTAACATAAAATATATACAAGTAAAAATATCGACAGATATTATATTATGGATTCACAAAATTTAAAAGTATAATAAATTTATTCTTTAGAGACATCTGATTCTTTTTTTATAAAGGGGGAGTTTAGTGATAGATAGCATATGGAATGGTTGAGAGTGAATCTTTTTGGATATATATTTTAATTTAGAGCATAGTTATAAAAGAAAATATAAAACCGGTGATAAAGGGTGATTATATATTATATGAAAATTTATCAATTTGTCGCTTTTCTCTTGATGTAATATATCAATATCCGAGCTTTAACTTTGCTTGCATTCTTCACCGGCGCTGATCTGAAAACTATTTTCACATTTAATTCAAAAGCATTTTTTTAGTTAAGTTTTATCATTTTCTTTCGTATAAAAGTGAAAAATTATAATTAATAAATTTAAGTCTAAATCGATCTCTAAGCTAACGTTTGTTTGTCATAAAATTTGATCAGCTTTTGAAAATCTAATTTTGAAAAATTAACTCAAACCAATTTTTGAATTATGAGAATTACACGTTAAATACAATATTAATAACTTAAATTCTTAAGTTTCAACTTTAAATTCTACGAGTGAAATTAGAATTTATATATATATATATGATTAGATCTTTACACCTGCAAAAAATGAAGGGACCCTTTTTTACTTAATAAAGTGCTTTACAAATTTTAGAATCTCTATGAATGGATGACTTGATTTGTATTGCATTATTTGATAAGGTGATTCCAAGTTCACATGTTCAACAAATGTTCTGTCAATTTTCCTTCTTCTTTTTTTTTTTTTTTAATTTTATGAAATATTTTATAATATCACGTCAATAATTTATTTATTTTCTTAAAAAAACTAGAAGATAATTGTACCTACTATTCATAAAAATAGAAATTGTTTGAAAAACAAATCGTAAGATGTTCTAATCTCAACATTCATGATAATTGATGTGTAATTAAATCTTTCTTATTTTGTTAATTATCTATTTTAATGATCGTATATTTTTTTATTTTATAAGTGACATGAATTATTCTCAATTTATTAAAAATAGTTTAAAAAGGTTTTCCTTCAACCTATTAAATCAAATTTATTCGAAACTTTAGATTGCCCTTCCATTTATTAATATAATAAATATAACTATACTATAATTTAAACAAATTTTGATTAAACAAATTACTTTCAATATTTTATATTAATCCTACTATGTATACATTAATTCATCGAGCCTTAATAATAAGGTAGCATTAATATTTCTTAATTTTTTTTAATACTCTTCCCGTTTTAAAACAGAATGACCTCGTTTTTTTTGTCTGTTTCAAATAGAATGACATTTTTCTTTTGATAATATTTTAATTTCAATTTTCCACGTGGCATATTTAAAGGCACAAGATTAAAGGATAGTTTTGTACATTCACATGACTTTAATTTAGGATCGCAATATTCAAAAGTCTTCTTTATTTTCTTAAAATTCGTGTCAAGTCAATCCAAATCATTCTTTTTAAAATGAAAAAAATATTTATATTAGTGTACGATTATTTTCAATTTGTGCTAAATAAAGCCCAATATTTTCTCTCGGGGATTAATTTTATATTATAATTTCAACTCAAAATAACTTTTTTATTTTTAACTTTAATTTAAAATATTTGATTAAATGAGAACAACCTCATCCGCTACGCTCGATAGTATAAATTAAAGTTGTTTGTGATGATCATGAAATTGTGGCACGTTGAATATAATTATGACTTACTTTCCCGCAGACGCCGTTCACATTTTTGGGGGCAGCTTTACACTAAAAGACACATTAAACTAAAAATAATATTTGTTTTCTACTTCTCACAAAAAGACATGATTAAAACTACACTTTATTTTTTTTTTTTTATTCCCCAATGATAGTGGATTATCATCAAATAAAAAAAATTAAAGAAAAACAATTTTGTTTGACTGATTAATTTTTAATCTAATATCTCACTTTTATTTTTTTAAATAATAATAAAAAAATAAGCAGTTTGGGGGCTTTCAAGAAATCGATCAAATAATAAAATATATTTATATATAATAAATGTAAATGTATATTCTTTATTATTTTGAGTGATTTTATTATTCTGCAGATTAAAATATAAATAATATTTTGACAATTTTTTTTAAAAAAGCTGACAAGTTATTTGATAGAGATATCACACGTGACACATACGTGTGTTATAATGTGTACTTCTGATATTTTTTGATAAGAGAAATCGAATAGTATCTAAGCAATAGTTAAAAAGTGTTTTTCTTACATCACTATTTTTTACCAATTTTATCCTTTGACCAAATTCACTTTTATTTTTATTTTCATTTTTTAAAAAAAAATTATTAATTATCTCCAATTTTTTCTAATATATTTTTCAAATTGTGTGACTTAGAATATGCTAAGAAAAAAAGGAACGGACAACTTTGATTTACTCCATATTCCAAAGTTAACTTTTTTTAGGGTGTCCACTAAATATTTTTTTTAAGACTATAATTTATATTGTCATTAGTATTTTATTTTAATTTAGATTTATATTATATATAAATTATTAAAGTTATCGCAGCATCTATAGTAGGATCGGAGGTTTATTGCAATGTTTATGGATCAATTTACAATGTCTTTGTCACTGATATTTGTCAAGCAAGTCACGTGGATTGACCAGGGTCTTTTTCGGCTAATGAGACCTCGATCTCGAAGTCTCAGAAATATCTTTTTGATAGGTGTCTCTATTTATATGGGAAATTCACTGCTGAAAGATCTCGCTCAGTGTCCCCCTCCTTTCGATTCGTGGAAGTATACAATGACAATATCGGGACATGATGCTCTAATCAAGGAAATTTTCTAATTTTAAAAGTCCGAATACAAAACATTTAATTAACAGAGAAAGAATTTTATGTATTTGCAAGATCAATTAATAGCTAAATTAAAATAAAATACGATTTTACATTCAATTATGAGAGGATAAATTGAACAAATTAAAGTTATGCCTTCTTTTACCAGTTGACCATGAACAATTGATAAATAATAATTCTGCTTTACTAAGTGATCTATTCGATAATTTAATGTATATAATTCTTCTCTTCCGAAGCATATAATTTTAATTATCGATTCTACTAATTATAATAATTAGATATATTTATTATAATGTACATAATAAATTATATGAGACGAAAGAAGGTGAATATACAAATTTTGAGGTATAGTAGATCTCATCTTGTCACAATTTTATTTACATGACTAAGGTTAGATTACCAAGGGAATCAGTGTGACAAAGTAAAAACTCTTTTTATACACCAAATCCCAATTCCTTTTAGGTTGTTATTGATGTTCTCACTTTGCATCTTTATTCACACAAATAAAGGTACATTTTTCTTGTTTTTCCCAAATGTATTTACCTATCAACCTTTGATACTATGGGTCTAGATTTTTGCGATCATTTTTTTTTCATTCGATGTTTAATTTTTATATCGAGATTTAAATTACGTCAAAATTTATACAATATAGAAATTTATTTGAGAAGAAATACTTTTTCTATATATAAGATTGGAATTTGAAATCTCTGATAAAAAAAATGAGCAACTTCGTATACTACACAATATCCTTTGATAGTCCTTGCTACAAAGTTAAGTAAATTTCTGTACATTTTACCTTTTTAAATCTTACTCATAAAATTATACTAACATATCATCAAGAACTAGTTAAAGGAGAGTTATTTAAATGACTTTGATGATTTATAATTTGTACTTACGATTTTATTTAGACTAATTTTTGTCCATATATTTTTTTTATGGGAAAAGATTTAAATTTGCCATTGCATTTCAAGTAATTATTCAAATTATTTCTTAAATAGATCTGTATATTATATAACACGGACAAACTACAAAAATCACATATTTTAA